AAAAAGGCTGAACTGGTTAGTTATCTTGTGCATGTTTAAATTTCTTTCCTTTACCCATTCAGGTTGGATTCACTAATATATTGCTTTGTGCAATCCTATAGGTGCAGACAATTTTAGAGGCTTTTGAAAATTTTCAATTGAAGACATATGGGATCAAAGCACAGGCACATTCAACACCACAAAAGGAGCGACGTTACAATTCAGTTTTATGAAGGGAAATGTATCATTACTATGATACTATTTTTTTTTTTTTGTTCACCTTTATTGTGTCTCACCCTTTCTTGGTATATATGCATTTTCTACAATTGAAATATAGTCTTAAGTCCACAGAAAACAACATATTCAAATGTCAACATATTCAAATGAATAGTCATCCTACTACAAGTCAACATGACACTGACAATATACCAGAGGACTAATTTTCAATTTTATGATATTAAGACTTTGAATCTTGATTAGTTGTTAAGTTCTTAATTTTCATTTGTGTTATGTTTGGATGAATTAAGCAGGTACAAATTTTGTAAAATTGGATATACAAAATTTGACTTTAGTAAGTTTTCATTTGTGTTATGTTTGAATGAATTAAGCAGGTACAAATTTTATGATTTGAATAATTTGACTTTAGTTTTTAAGTTTTCATTTGTGTTATGGTTGGATGAATTAAGCAGGTACAAATTTTGTCAAATTGGATGTACAAAATTTTAAACGAAAATTTTCAGATTTGGTTAGATTAGCGACCGAATTTTTGGTCGCTACAAATTTATTATAATATACAATTCAGATTTAGCGACCGATTTAGCGACTGATTTAAATTATTAGTTGAATAATTCAATTAATATATTAGCGACCGATTATATCCGTCGCTATTATTGTTAACTTTGTCTCCAATTTAGTGACCGATTTAGCGATCGATTTTAATTTTTATTTAAATAATTATATTAATATATTAGCGACCGAATATATCGGTCGCTATTTTCTAAAACTTTACCACGGATTTAGCGTAACCGATTTATTATATTAATTTCGATCGCTATTTTGGTCTTCAATGAATAAGTGACCAAATTATTTAGCGACCACCTCATCGGTCAGCTATTTAGCGACCGAAATGTAAATCGATCGCTAACAAATTAGCGACTTGCCCTTTTACGACCAACCATTTCGGTCGCTAACGGAATAGCGATCGAATTTTGGCCATTAGCGACCAAATTTTTCGATCGCTAATAGCGTTTTTCTTGTAGTGATTTATATATTTATATATTTTTATATTTTTTATATTTTTATATATTTATATATAATTAAATATTTATTTTTTAAAATTATTTAATTTAATAAATTATTATAAAATAATCTAATTATGATTAAATTAAATTATTAAATAAAAAATATTTTATTTTTTAATTAGGTGAATAATTAAATTATATTATATAATTTTATCGATTAATATATCCGTTGGTAAATAATTGTTAATTTACGGATGAATTTACCGATGGATATATCCGTCGATAAATTCATCTATAAATTACAGACTAATTTATCGACGGATATATCCGTCGGTAACTAATTATTATTTTACCGACCGATATATCCATCGGTAATATTAAATTCCACAAATATTTTATATCCGTCGATAATTTCTGTCAGTAATGATTATTTTCCGAACAGCTACAAATTCATCGGTAATACGCGATTTTCTTGTAGTGAGTTACAGTAAATATTAAAGTGATTGTTTTTCTTAATTTATGGGAAAAAAAACTAAAATGTCTATGTAATACTTTACAGAATATGTCAACATATATGGTTTTAATTATTTATTTTGATGAGATATAAATTTTTGATGTATAATGTATTAATAGAATGTGATATATTGTTTGTAACCAAAAAAGAAAGTAGGTAGTTTATTAACATTTTCAATTCTAATAATTAATTCTTCAACCTTCAGGGATGGTTTCTTTTGAGTAAATATTTTTTGTTTGAATTTATGGTTTCATTTTAATTTCAAAACAACTAAATTACACTTTTACTCATTTATCTTCTTGTTTTAATTTCATTTATTCTCTTGTCTTTAAATATTAATTTGGTTATTTTTAAAATATTTAATTGAATGTGTGAGGGTTCTACTGTTATTATAGAGAAATATACTTTTTTTTTTTATTTTAAAAATAATTCTAAAGTTTTATATATTTGTTAATGATCCTAACTTTATGTAAAACAGTTTTTATATAAAAATAATTTGTATATTTATAAAAATATTTTATGTTAATTTTACCCTTAATTACAATTTGTTCAAAACTTACAATAACTTAGATTAAAGATCAAATGTATAAATATTTTGTTTACTTAATACACCGAGATATATTTTAACAACAAAATTTTGTTTAATCGTAATGATATTAGCGAACTTTGGATTAGAACATCATGATTTTACGAACGAAGAAAAAGGTTTCATTACTATCTTCCTGTCTTCAATTAGTTTTGGTCCCTAAACCCTAATTGTAAAATTAACTACATACTTTTCACCACTTCAAAACGATTTGTCCATAATTATCCTTTTATGTATTTATTTATTTATTTATTTATTATTATTATTATTATTATTATTATTATCTGTTTTTTTTTTAACTTAATGTTGATGTTTTATATTTTTAATTTGATTGATTAATTTTCACATTTTTAAAAATTATATAAAATTAGTTTTCCTCTTAATTTGGTGACAGTTAAAAAATATTATTAAATTTTACGTTTAAGTGTGAACTATGACTCTCTCTATATATGTATATTTAAAAGTTAGAGACTATTCTTTAATTTCAAGAAATAGGAATTAAAACCAAATTTAATATAAAAATTATAGGAACTAAAACTACACTTTTTTTCCTTTATATAGGATATATCTTCAACCAAAATGTTACTTTTTGAAATATTAGGTTTGTTTATTGTTAAAGTAATTCATGTTTTTAATTCCAAAATTTAGGTTTTTGCTTGTTTCCAAAATAATATTGATAAATGTTTAATTCATATTTAATTATTACATACATGAAAAGATATAATTGACTTGAACAAATTAAGAGAAAATTATCATTATTATTATTATTATTATTATTATTATTATTATTATTATTATTATTATTATTATTGTCTTCAATAGAAAAATATATATTAATTATATTTTTTCTTTTAAAAATAATTATTAGTAAGAAAAAGTCTATGCATAATAATATAGCAAATTACAATTAACACTGATATAACTAAAAGCATTTGCTTATTTACTTATTATTATTATATAGAAAATTCAAGACTTTAATAAAGTAAAAGAAACGTTAACTATATTTTCTTTTTTGAACTAACTATTAGTAAGAGAAAAACTAATGATATTTAAAATTTGAATAAAATTAACTAATGAACATTATGTATATTTTTCCATAGAATTAGTAATCGATAAGAAAAATCATAATAGGTATGATTTTTAAAGATAAATATTAATTAATTTTAAAAAATATAAATGCTACTTTTATAAAAAAAAAATGTGAACGAAATCAAGGTACAATATTTTTCAGTTTTTATATTTAATTAGTAAAATAATATAAATTGGAAATGATTATTGTTTTGAATTATTTATATATTATACAAAAAAATTTAGTGACAAAAAATAATTAATTATTATATTTATTAAGTTAAAAACTATTTTAACTAAATTGATTGAATAAGAATTTAAATTCATTTATAATCTTAGCTACCAATTTTAAGTAGTTATTTAAAATTGGGATATATTTTAATAATTTATTGTCTGATTTTTAATTAGCAGTTAACAATTTAGTAATTAAAATTAAACATTGATATAAATTTTAATTTAAAAATTAATTTAACTAAGATGTTGTACAATATAGTTAATATAAAGTATGTCAACTACATTATGCGATCGATAAACAATTTTGAGGCACGTTAACGCCTCCTTTTAAGCACCAATGTTATGTATTCAACATAACCTTTTAAAAATAAAATAAAAAACACTTGTTAATTTCAAAAACCTTGATTTGACAAAGAAGGAATAGACTTCGATTTTCTTCAATAGTAATATGTTTCCATTAAACTAAACAAAGATTAACATTGTACACAAATTCACACCTAACGCTAAAGTTAAATTTAAATGTAGGTCAATGTCAAAACACAAAATAAAGGTTGTTGGTCTTACATATGAGGGAATATTTACACAAAAATATTTGAATAGAACATGAGTTTGATTAGATAAAATTCTCTATAAATGTTTTGAATAAAATAAATAAATAAGTTTTTCTGTGTGTTGAAATCAGTTTAATTTAGGATTTAGGAAATAAGCATATCAGTAACCTCTGTTACTTGGTTATAATTGTGGTTTCATTTTCAGAAAACAGAAATTGGATATATCTGACTAGCTTCTGTTACCTTTCTGCAGACTCCTGATCTTCCAAGAGATTAAACATCTGCGTCAGTGTGGTTGGTTTGTCACTTTGCTATGAACTCTCTCTATGCTTTGTCTTAGATGAACTACGTGTTATATAACTGCATGTCCACCTTTCATCCTCTCTAAGCAACCTCTTGTTTGTTTTTATCTCTGTCTGGTACATTTCCATTATTTTGCATCTTTCTATTTAGTTCTGCATGTGGTTGTTGTTGTAGATTTCCGTTGTTTGGTAATGCTCTGATTAGAAGGATCCAAACATGGATGCTCATTGATTTTGGGGTGCTATATATGTTGTACACTTCAAAGGGCACTTTTCTTCAAGTTTAGATTTTAATATTTCATTGTTTTACCTGTCTAAGTATATTATTATACAATATCAATCATTGGTAGAAGTTATTGTTCACTATAAAGCCATTCATCTACAGTGTAGTTTATCAGTTTCTATAACAGGATGAGGAATTATTATATTTTTCAAGGAAATGTGAGTACCCTGTGCGTTTTTCAGAAACCTGATGGCATAAACGATTAAAATCCTATGACATGAGATCAGCAATGAATTGATAGAATGTTCTTTGCAGGTTTTGAAATTATGAGTCCAAAGAAATGGTTAAAGAAGATTATTAAATTGAAGAAACGGCAGGAAGATAAATTGAAACAAGCTAAGGTCATTTCTTTTTCTCTTTACAATCTTTAGCAATATGATAATCATTTGAAAAGATTCTCTTCTCTGCTGTTTATCAAATGAGGAGGAGGATTTGAGGTCTTAGTGAATGGAATCTAATTAAAGTAGTTTTTCATTGAATTCTATATAGTATTACCATTGTGGAAACATCCATTGCTTCTGAATTCTCTCTGCCACACTTGTGAGTAGGTGCAATCCACCCCTGAAAAATCAAATGAGTCCTCTGAGGAGGAACAAGAAGAAACTCATGAAGAGTCAAATAGCATTCCTAGTGAAGGTTTGGTGGTAGTCGAAAGGGAAGTTCCCACCAGATTGACAGAAGATATTGCTGCTACTCGGATTCAAAATGCATTTCGTGCATTTCTGGTACATAATCTACATGGTGCTTAACACCATTTATTTTACTACTTTGTCAATTTTATTTTAGATTTTGATAGCAAACTCTGTCAAAAACTTTTCATTCTAGTTTCTGAATGCAGTGCTGCATTTGGTGTTGCAATAATAGGGGACTAAACTGATAACATTTAGGGTATGTTGGAAGAAACTTCTCCCTAATCACTTCCAGAAAACCCAAATAAGAAGAAAAATTGAAATATATTCCCCATAAGCTCAAATTAACTTATCCATAAGCTAAATTGTAGAAGCTCTATCATATAGTTTTCTATTGTTTTTGTTGCTAACCATTTTGGTATAATGTGTATGATAAACAAGCTCATGGTGACTATTGAAATGAATCAAATTTGCACAGTACTGTCCAAACCCTGTTCCATTATTTTTTACAAAGGTTATGGGAAAAGCAAGGAAAAAAAATCAATGATTACCGCCATCTTAAGAGCATTTTTGTCTATACAGGCAAGAAGAACATTGCACCATCCAAGGGATAATGCACTAAACTACACTATAAACATTGCACCATCTAACGGAGCAGTGAAATTGGAGGCTTTGATTCAGGATCACATGGCTAGAGAACAGACAGGAACTGCACTAAGCTACATACATTCTTGGAGCAGAATACAGGAGCAGATTAAAACTCGCAGACTCTATATGATAACAGAAGCCAGGATCAAGCAAAAGAAATTGGAAAACCAGTTAAAACTTGAGGCTAAGATTCATGAGCTCCAGGCATTATTACTCTCACCTTGATTAAACCTTTCAACTTTTGTTAGTTAAATTAAAAGTCCTAAACAAACCATTGTTCATATCATGTCATTCTCTTTATCAAGAAAATATGTTTTGTTGGTAAATGTATGCCAGGTGGAATGGTGTGGAGGTTCTGACACAATGGAAGACATACTTTCCAGGATACATCAGCGAGAAGAAGCAGCAGTCAAACGAGAGCGAGCTCTGGCATATGCCTTCTCTCATCAGGTACAAAACTTGCACAGTTTATGTTCTCTAAGTGAGAAGATGCATAGAATAACAAATCAGGATTGCCTCGTCTCTTGATTTAATGACAAAATTATGAGTACTGTTTTCTAATCGCACTTAAGTTCCCTCAAATCTGTTTGATAGATATGCACTATCAGTGCAAAAGGCTTTTTGTTACTATTGAAATATGGACACAAGGCAATCTTACAAAACCGAGTTTCAGGTCATATTTTTAGTTGTTATAAGATTTTTAACACATTTTCTCATATCGAGAACTAGACATTATTATCATAACAAAAAAATAAATATAATCCTACAAAACATACTTTGAAGATGAGGTTTATATTTTATTTATTATAATTTGTTCATAATTTTTAGCTAAAATGATATTTTTAATACACTTACTCAGATATCTATATTTCTCGAGCGAGTGTGAGATTATTAGGTATTTATAGAATTTATAATACATCCCTTATTCAGAGGATAAGAGTGATTTTGAAAAACTATCAACCAATTAAATGTTACCTTATACACGATTTCTAATTAAAAATTATCAATCATCGTGTAAACCCAAGTCTTCATTATTATCAGTATTATATATTACATTTTTAGATTTCAGTTTTGGAAATAAAAACCCCAAAAATAGTCCTCCAAAGTTGCAATGTCTTTGTTTAGTGGCATGCTTTGGAATCGACACATAGCTTTGCTATAACAGTGGCTATGGCCAGTAATTGGTCCAGTACCCACTGATGTGATCTGAAACACCATATTGCAGTGGAGGCCCAATTGCAGCCAGTGTTTGGGACATGCTACCTACAGCCTAGGCAAAGAAAGCTGGGGTTGGAGCTGGAAGGAGAGATGGGTAGCAGCCCGTCCATGGGAAATCCGGGTTCGTTTTCCTGACCCCATGACTAAGAAAACCAATGGCCAGCCACTGATAAGCAGAGTAGACAAAAAAGAGCACAGTGATAGCAAAGTGCCCTTGTCTACTTATGAGTTGTCAAATGGAAAGGAAACTCAGAAAGGGAAAGAAAACAACATTCCAGAGGTGTCTAAGAACAATGTAGCCAAATAAATCACGCTGGCTCCTCTATCATCTGTGGTGATTAATCAATTACTTGACGTGCCATTTGTAAAGGAACCTTTTTATCATTGTACTTTTGTCCTTCTTCTCACCCTCTTTCATATTTGGCTCATGAGAATATGTATACATGTCACCTTGTCTATGCATGCATTAAATTAGGAGACTTGTTATCAGTATTTTCATTATCAGTCCAAAACATGATTAATGCCTTGTTTGAATTATCTTCAATTCTTCTATAAATAGTTTCTATTTTAAGTTGACAGTGAAAGTAATAAACAGTTGATTCTGAGTTTTTGAATTCTTGACTGAACTTTTAGAGATCAGAATTGCTTATGATTGGTATCAAACACACCATTAATCTTGCATTTTACCAATCTCATCAGTTTCCAATTATTGAAATGAAACTTGATAACAGTCTATTATCCTCTACATAAGGTTTCAAATTGTTTCGGTCGTGTTTGTTTCCTCACATTTTTTTCATGTTGCGAGAAACTGTACACAAATGTAACCGATAGAGCTATATAGTTGCAGCTGCATTGCTGACACTTTAAAAACCTTGATCTTTGGCTGAAATTGCATTCGATTCGAATGTTGGCCAAAAGAAATTGCATGGTCAGTTTACTAACACACGACCGAGGTCAGATATGGTTTTTCTTTTTCTTAGAAGGTAAAATAGTCAATTACTATATTTCAGTGACCAACATCAACGCTCTCCTTAAAAAATTGTTTATTAAACCAAAATGAACAACAAAAGTATCATGTTCCATCGCATGTCAGAGACATGTTGTTTCTCTGATTTGGAGTAGCATAATTAAGTATCTAATGGATTTAATTATATAAATATCATTGGATGATTTCTTGTAGTTTAATTTAAGAAATGGGGCGGTGACACTCTGTGGTGTCATATTCATTAAATACTTGCCACTTTCCACACATAGTAACCTGAGTTGTATGATGTATGATGGGTTCGTGACCCACTAGAATTTTGTTTTTGATGTAATCTTATACTAGCAGCAGCACTAACTACCGAGAAATAATTGCCACGATCTCAAGAGAGGCCAAAGGTTTTTAATTGTTATCATTTTACTTTTCATTATCCCCTTGAAGAGAAGAGAACTTCCAAGTGAACATTAAATAAAATCTTTATGAGGTTCTGAGATTTGCAAGGTAGGGGGGGACCACAGACAGGTGTACAAGTATCACACTTTGGTGGTATCCATGAGTGGGAACTCTTTCATAAGTGAGCTTCGTTGTGCTCATCCATCACCCTCTCCTTTTCATGGCTCCCCCTGCAGATGTTGTTTTTTTTTTTTTTTTTACTTTTCCCACTTGTTCTTACCTCTTAGGATTTATCTACTCAAATCATGAGTCATGATGGACGTCTGCCACCAAAAGATACCCAATCCCCCCAAACAGTTACCCCATGTTACTGTTGTAAGGCTGAAAAAAAACAAAAAAAGCACCTGATATTTTTCTAGAAGGTAAGATATGTGGTTCAAAATAATATGGTAGAAAACCGTTCATTCTACTAGAATTTAAAGCTTTCATTTGAAACTAAACTCACTCTCTGCATTAACTAAGCCGGTAGGTGAGTGGGTCATCAGATATGACTTGGGGATGTTTTCCTTTATCACGTTAACTTTTATATTCCTAATCGAGCTTTCAGTCACTGTCATAGCATACTAAACTAGCTGAAGAACTACAATGATGACATTTGAAAGGAAAAGCAGCAAACCATGCTGAAATTGGGATATTTGCTTTTTTACCAAGCTCGGAATCAAAATCAACTCTCACGCAACCCTTTCTCCTTTGTCAACAGTTTTCTACTGTTCGTGGACAATGACTTCTCAGTCAAATGCTCCCAAAATCGAAGCAAGAAAGAGATAGGTGTAATGAAGCTGTAGATTTCTTTCCAATTGTTTTTGAGGATTAGGAAGCTAGTGTCTAGTGACGGGTGGATGGTTGCACGAGAAAGTAGTAAAAAAAGGAACAAAACAACAATCATTCTAATGCAAAGAGAACCCTCTTTCGTTTCCTTGATATAACAACTTAGGAATCAATAAAACAGTAATCATGTTCCTACATTTCTTTTTCACAACACTTTCTACAACACCAGATGAGAAGAAAAAAGTGATATATAATAGACAAATAGAAAAAAAAAATGAATCTAAAAAAGTGTTATGAGAAAAAATGTGGGAGAATATGATTACTTCCAATAAAAGACCATTTTCTTCTCTCATTTGAAACAAGAGAACATTACCAAGCCAACAAATCGAAGCAAGATTCCTATGTCGGCTTATTTTGTTTTACCCTGTTTTGTCATGGAGAGAACCCCTTATTCTGCATCTGGGTCTGCACTAACTAGGAAATATACAACAACTCAGAGCAAACTAGTTCTTTTATTCAGTGAGAATGTTTTTCAAATCACTACTACAATAAAGTAGAAATGGAAGAAATACAAAGATGACAAAGTCACTAACAAAGGGAAACATAGAAATAGCAATCAAATACAGATGAAACCAAAGAAACACACTACTCCTTCTCCTAGTTAAATTAAGCATGAAAAACATATATAGCATAACAAACCGAGGGATGGGAAAACCTGAATATCAACTTCAGATTTTCTTCATTCCCACGGCATAGGCCATTGAAATCAACACATCCAGAAATCCAAACCCAACCCTCTTGAATTCCCGTTGAGCTTGAAAATTCATTCACCTTAATACTCCAAAACCATGTTCTCTGCATCAAATGAATCATCTTCAGTGCAACCCACGAAGCCTAAAATAACAACAAAAAGTACTCAGAGAAATGAACAAAGAGAAACCCTAGTGAGATTTCAAGAATTGGGTCGCGAGAGAGAACCTGAGGGAGAACAAAGTTGGGGTCTTTATGTGTTTTCCAAATCAATGGCGAGAATCGGAGGAAGCAGAGGACGGCTTGTCGGATACGCCGTCGTGTTCCTCTTCACCCTGAATTCGTGCTGGAATGCGGAAGCCGGAGAATCCACCGCCGGTGGAGAAGCCACTGCCGCCGGCAACGGAGCCCTGGTGGATCAACGACGAGAGGTAGTGATGGTGGTGGTGGTGGTGATCGGCCGAAGGGTCTATCCAAGCACGAACCGAAGGGGTGTTACTGGACTGAAGGGGTCCCCTCTGAGAAAAAAATTGACCAAACGCGGGCGCCGGCAACGGAACCGGCGACGGCGTGTTGAATACAAACCCACCGCCATGGCCACTGTTGCCACCAAAGAGCAATCTATGCTCCTCCGAGTGGTGGTGGTGCTGCTGGTGCTGGTGCTCCGACCAGCCGGAACCGCCGTCGAAGCCTAGCGCAGTTCCAGCGAAGAGCACCGGCTCGTGGTGGCTCTGAGGCTGGTGGTGAAGCATGATAGGGTCCTGGAAGGACTGTAACGACAAACGCAGATCTTGCTGCCTCAAATCCGGCGGCGCCGGAGGGTAACTCTGAAACGACGTCGTGGTAGCTTCCACGGGAAAGAAAGTCTTGATTGTCTCAGCAATGTTATCAGTGTCCAAAGACGGTGGCAGAAAACCAGAGCCAGTGTTGTACTTGCTGTTGCTTATGTGGTTAGCATTCCCACTCTCCAATTGTTGGTGAGAGAAGTGTTCTGGAACTCTAGTCGCCGCAGCGAGAGCGTTGCTCTCGCCACCGCTACTGAAGGCGGCTATTGGGTCGTTCATAGAGAGAGACTTGCTCTCGCCGTGGACGAGTTCCTGCTGCTGAGGCGTTTGCATTGACGTGGCTGTCGGGTTCCATGGTGGGAGCTCTGCCAGCTCGTCGATGGCCGCCTTGGCTTTTTTTATGAGCCAGTCGACCGCCTTGCTGGGGCGGTCGTAGCCGAGGCGATCCTGGACATCGTAGAATTGGATGGCGGTGTGAGCCGCCAGGCGCACACGGCGGTCTCTGGGACCTTTGGCGGTGCAGACCTTGCTGTGGCGGTCCTTCCGCCCGGTCGAGCGGACAATGTGACCGCCTTGCACCTCCACGATCTCGCCACCGCCGCCTCTCATCGCCGATCTCGACGGTGTTGCTGCTTGGTGGTGGAGATGGTGGTTCTGTGATTCTCCCATCTTTCTCGCATGTTCGGTTGAAGTAAGCAACGAAGGCGGTGGTGGTAGAGGAGGGAGGAGGGAAGACCGTTTCTTTGGCGGTTGAAGTGGGTTTAAGAGCTCCGTGTCTAAACCTGTGTAAGATTCTTGTTCTCCTTGTCGTCGTTGTTGATGATGCTGTAGTAGATGGAGGTGTTGGAATTGGTGGTCTTGTTGGTTTTCTCCTTCTTCTTCTTCTTCCTCTGTTGTTACATGTCTTGTGTTTAGGACCAGATTTTGATGATGAGATTGATGGTGAAGAAGATGATGACGATGATGGTAATCCCTGTGAGGATCCAGAGTCAGACCGTTGTTGGTGTTGCTGTTGGGATTTTCCTCTTCCAGCTTTTAATGAAGCTTTGCACTTATTCCTAATGGCTTGATGATTCCTTGCACTCCCAGCTTTGTTTCTTTCCACTCTCCCCTTCTTGTTGCTTGTGCAACTGCCACAACTCTGAAACTTGCTTCTGCTTCTTCCAAAAGTTCCTGCCATTCAATTTTCCCACTTCCATCACCACAAAAGAAAAAAAAAAAACAACAAAAAAAACAAAACCCTCTCAAACTAAACTAAACTTAAGCAAACCAACAATCTTATACCAACTCCTTTTCAGCCTAACCCATCTTTTCCCCTCTCTATATTTCTCTCTTTTTCTCTCTCTCTCTCCACACACCACTTTTGCCTTTTTTGCTAATTAGCTCCTTAATACACTAATGTATTGTACTAACCAAAGTGGAACTACAATACGGTTGAGTTGGTTAATACCCTCTTGGTCTTGGCCAAACAACCTTAGGGAACCACCCAACTGGTGTCGTGTTGCAAAATTTTGAACAGATTTTCCTCCATATCTCAGCACAAAGACAGAGAAGAGATAACAGTTATAGGGAAGAGGAATTCATTCTGGCCCTATGGGAGGCCTTGTTGATGGCAGTGGTAAAGGTGACAGTGTTTGGTCGGAATGGAGGTGTTAAATATCTGTGACTGCATCATTGCCCTTCTTTCTGATGCTGTTCTTATACCACACACTACACGATACACTCGACATAATACACAATACAACCAACACACAATATTCATTCAATCTCCAAAACTTGGCTCCATCTTCTTCCCCCTCTCTCCACTTTCACTTTCTTCATTTGGGTCTGTTTTTTTTATTGGTTTATTGTTGTGTACATCCAACAAAACTTAAATACATTTACTTTTATATATATATATATATATATATATATATATATATATATATATATAATGAATTTTACCGTCATATATTTTCTCATTTAAGGATTTTGTTAGAAGGTTAATTTCCAATTTCATTTGTGAAAAAATAAATATGTGTTCAAAAATCTCGATTCGAAGACTCCAAACATAAAATTAAAATATATAGATATCTTAAAAATTAATGATGACCTTTAACTAAGAAATAGCATAAATTCATTTTAAATTTATATTAATCTATAATAAAATAATACATTCAAAACTATTAAATACTTAAGAAAAATAATTTATTAATAAATGGAATTATCTAAATCTGATTATTGAGATAAATAATCAGTAATAGGAGTTTCTTGTGGCTCTTAAAATATATTTATAGCTTTAAATTTTATTTTATATTGAATTATTATTTATTAATAATACGTTATTTAATCTAATATTTTCTATGAATGTCTCTGTTAATAATAATATTTTATTTACGTTTTAATCGAAATAGATTAATCTAACACCAAATCTTAGAGTGTCGTGAAAGGATCTATGTGAACTGAAATGAAGTTATGTTGGATAGGAAAACTCGGATACTGTAACAATTATTATGGAGGAGAAGGGTGAAAATAAAATTCCAAAGCAAGAACATCTAAAAGAAGAGACTCTAAAATTTGTCCATTAGAATTTGAGAATTTTACTTGCTAGTTAGAAGTTAGAACCGTTGGTTTTGATGTATATTTTTTTTTATCTAAGGGCAGTGTGTTTGTCTGGATGCCCTTAGAGGGATAGATAGATCCCTTACATGCCTCCACCATACCTTTGGAAAGGGACACCCTCCCAACAGCTCTTTTGGTTTCTCTTTCCCCCTTCTCTCTCTATCTTTATCGTTTCGCTTAAAAGCAACATAACCATAACATGAATATCTAGATTTACTTCATCAAAACCACCTTATGCTTTGTGAGATTTCTGTGCCTATGTTTTTGTATGGTTGTCCTTTTCCTCACAAAGTCAAATTATTTCACCCTTTTCAAAAATCTTCAAACTCATCCTTCATATATATTTCTCCATTAGTTCTATATCGTTTAATCACATACTTTACCATTCAAATACCATTGTTTTTGGAAATGAAGACCTAGTTTTAAAGTTTTGGAACCAAAAAAGATGTTGCACCACCATACTAATTCAACTTTATTTTCAAACTATAACCTTTCAGCCAACACAAATTGACACATATTAATTGTCAAGAATTTAGAAGAAGACTCTCTCACCTTCCTTGTATGCACCTATGTGAAAGATCTTCCAAATCGAATCTGCTTAAATCATTCAAAATACTTTTGACGAGCATCTTTTCATCAGAATAATTGCTTGTAGTTTAAGCTGTGCGAAATTTCCAACACAACCATGCAATAGAATTCTGCATTTTTTTCCTACTTCTTACCATTCTTATTCCAAAAGGTAACAACATGTGGAGAAACTTTTCTATAAAGGTTTCTGGAAGAATAGAAAGATTAAAAATAAAATTAGTTTCTTTGAAATATATATATATATATATATATATATATATATATATATATATATAATTGTAGTAGAACATATTAGCAATAGTTGAAGATGCTTTGTTGTATTCAAATTCTTTTAAATCTTAACACAGGGTAAAGTGGGTGAGATTCTTAAACCCAAGATTCAGACCTGCACTATTGCATGGAATCAATTTCCTTTTCTTCTTAAACTAATGAGACTTGCCAAAACCGTAAAAGAAACTAAAAGTGAGGTTTCTTTATGGTGCTGAATTAAAAGTTAATTAACTATCATTAACAAGTACCTGGTATTATTAACAACCACACATAGCATTGGTTGATTCAGGATCCATTTCAATCAATGCATGTCCTGTTCCAAACAATGACAAATGCTTCATATTTTTTTCCACACAATAACTCTGATAGAAAGAATATGGACAATGATGGATCTAATCAAAGTAATTAATAATATAACAAATCTAAAAACCAAGCATAAATCATCTTAATTTTAGCTTTTTCTCAATGGGAATTTTAAGCGATGATAATGTATATTAGAATGAATGATTGATTGATTTAATTGGTTAATCTTCTCCCTGGTGAGTTCAAGTGAGGACCATATATGTAGCACCATTTAATTTGGTGGCTGAGAGAGAACTCGAGAATTGATTTTTACCTTTAATTTACATATGTTGTGCAGCTGATAGACATAAAGGACCACAACAATTAAATAAACAAAACATCAACTTAATGGAACCTCTATATTAATTGCAAAAGGGGAAAAAGAAACAAACACTTTAAGTTCCATTGGTGTTTGAATCCCAGTAATCTACCTTATTCAGAACTGTTGTTTTCTACATGATCAATTGCACAAGTTGATGATCTTTTCCCTCTTCCAAATGGACCACTTCTTTTTCTGTCTTCAAACACAAGTAATTTTTTTCTAGTACTTCTTCTAATATTTATCTGCTATTTTTAAAATTCAAAATAACACAGATTACTCCTGCATCATGGTACATAAGGATTTTATTAAGATGGAAATTTTATTACTTTTCCTTTATTTCATGAAAAGAAAAAGAGATAAAAAAAAAGGGAAGGGAAAAGTGATATAATGTGCATCTACTTGAACATGAATACAAAAAAAAGTGACCAAGGAGAATGTTCGTTGAGTGGAAAAGAAACCAAAAAGAACAGTGATGTAAGATTTCATGAGCTGGAGAATAAGTATTAGGACGAAGGAGAAAGCAAAAAAAAGAAATGTAACCTAAGACTGAGAAAGTTGAAGTGAAGCAAATGGTTGATGAGTTAAAGAGGCACAAGATTCTGGGGTGGCTGATATATTCCCAAAAGGCAAGTTGGTGAGTGATATATGTCTATCTCTAATCCTTCTAGCTGTATAGAACTTCCATGAACAAAGTAGACTTTGTCTCAACTTTGAATGTGTATGATGTGTGTATTCATTTAATACTAGATGACTAAAAGATATATGAGTATAAGAAAATATTTTTATAACAAACGAAAATAAAAAATTCTGATTCAACTTTAACATCAAATAAAATCACTAATAAATATATAAATTATATTTTAATAATTAAGATGGATAATATAAGACTCTTTATAAAAAATAATATTTTAATTTTTTTACAATCATTAAAAGTTCAAATTATATATTAACGTATTTATAAATTATCATTTCCATTTTTCTTATAGATTATGTATCTATGGTGCGATGTAAGTCGTTGTTTGTCGAATTAAATTAAAATTGGTTTGTTTTTCTTTTTCAAACTATAAAACAAATAATAATAATAATAATTTTGTTGGGTCAAGTTTTTAAAGCCGATTTTTTTTATATGTGACCTAGTCATTTTCGTTAGACCGGGTCATATTTTACGACTCTGCTAATTTATTTAAAGTTAAAATATTAAAAGAAGAAAAACTAACTTTTTAAAGAAAAAAAATTATCTTAAACTAAAAACTAATTTTTAAGAACTAAAAACTGGTTATAGCTTTTTAAAGAAAATTAAATATGGTTGCAGAGTTGAATATAATTCGCTAGATTTTTATATATGAATGTTTCTCACACGGCATTTTAAATAATGTTTTTTGTTTTTCTATGGCATAGAAAGAATAAAAATTGAAAACGCTTGCGTAGTAATTTTCAAGTTATCATTTTTATGATTATATATGTTTGAGCAACTGTGTATAGTTTACGAGAAGCAACGTTAATAACTTATTAAACTTTAACTAATTGTGATCCTCCTTGAAATTTTGTTAAGGGAAGTTAAGTTTCAACGTGAGATAATGATGTTTGGGTTGACAAAATTGGTAAGGTGGATGCAAATTCCCTTGAAAGTGTGATTTTTTTTTTTCTTTTAATTGTTGATTAATTATTTTGTGGTGCTGATTAACATTGATTGGAGTGTGTTGAGTGTTGGTACTGTGTGATACTATTCCGATACTGTTGGAGCTTCCTTCGAGTTCCTAACCAAACAGTTAAACAGATATGAAAATAAGGTTAATGTTGAAGACTATGAAACACAAATCCTATGAAAGTCTCACAAATAGATTCGCAGCACGTAAGTTGAATTTTAATGATGACTATGTTTGGCTTTGAGTATATATTAGTTCTGAGCTTATGCCACATTTTGGTCTTAAAAAGAATAAGATTAGAGACATGGCTCGGATGTATGTTTCATATATGGATGAAATCAAACTTTTAACTGAGGAATTATCATATAAAGATTAATATAAAAATAATATATATTTATATCAAATTATTAA